TCCTCCCCTGCCCTTTGCCCTGGAACCCCTCCCCCCCCCATCAGCTTCCTGTTTGCTGTGCAGAGCAGGGAAGAGGGCACTGATGTCAGGGTGCCCTCTCCCACTCTGTTTTCCATCCCCACAGAATGGATGGAGGGTGCAGGGTTTGGGATTGAGGGAGTTTGCTGATGCAGGGCCAGGGCGGGGTGAACCTGCCTTAGCCCCACTGCACCACCACCCAGGAGCTTCCTGAGGTAAGCAGTGTCCAGCTGAATCCAGAATACCGAACCCCTTCCCCTCTTACATCATGAGCCCCCTCTTACATCTCAAGATCCTGTCCTAGCCCTCAGCTCCTTGGGCCCAAACTCCCTTACAGATCCTGTACCCTGAATCCACTCATGCACCCCAACTCCCTGCCCCAGGCTCAGCTCAGAGCCCCTCTCACACTCCAAATTCCTTAGCCCAAGATCAGAGCCTGTGTCCCAACCCTCTGCCCCTGCCTGGTGAAAAGGAGAGAGGATGGGGGAGGATGGAGTGAGCAGGAGTAGGGCTTCAGAGAAGGGGCACAAAGGAGGGGGGGCAGGGGTAATTGGGTCTGAGGTAGATCTTACATTGCACTTAAATTCACAAAGTGATCTTATGCTTAAAAAGGTTGGAGACCCCTGGAATGGCTAATGAGAACTCAGTGGGGCTGGCTAGGGCTCTAGAGTCACCAGACACAGGGACGGGTAGGAGCTAGCGGCTCTCCGTTAGCATGCGTCACTCAGTCAGGGTATGTCTACACAGCAGTGTTATTTCAGAATACGCGATGTTATTCTGAAATAACAAAGAGTGCATCTACACTACAAGCCCTTATTTCGAAATAATGGCGAGCCTGATGAGTTCTTACTCCGACTCCTGGAACCCTCATTTCACGAGGAGTAAGGGAAGTCAAAGGAAGAGTGAATTGAGCTATTTCGACTTCAGCTACGCAATTGACAGAGCTGATGTTGGGTAGCTTAACTCGACTTTTGCCCTGCTGTGTAGACATGTCCTCAACTGAAATTCTGGTAAAGCCTTACTTCCTGGCATCCAATTTCTCTCTTCCTGAATGCACAAGACAACCCCGTCTGAACTAAGGGGAAGCTTTGCAGGATTGGGCAGCTGCCTCCACTTCTAGATCTTCCTCCAGCAGCTGCCCCCTTTGCAGCCTGCTTTCTGCGTTGAGAGCCACTTAAGGTCCTCATGGTGACCACCCCTTCTTCAGCAGAGTCCCAGGGCTCCTATGTGGCTACCCCAAACCAGGCCAGCCCTGGCACATGTCAGAATAAAGCAAGGGGAGGGATGCTTTATAAGGAGTGTGCTAATTCCTGCTAGGCCTTTGTGTTTCTGCTACTCCAGCACAAATTGCAGTTCACATTAAAATTCATTTGCCATGTATAATATCCCCCAGCACTTCTAACTGAGGCCCAATAAATTGAAAACAATGTGGTTTCTACTTGAGCGTTATACATGCCAGGAACTTCAAGCCTTGCAGCTGACCTGCACGGTCTGCAGCGCCAAAGCCCATGTCTCGTCTCATGACTCCTGATAGGCCCGGCTTGTTTCATGACATCTGCAAGCAATCTGATCTGTTCCAGATAGAGACTTGGTCCTCATCCCCAGCCCACAATATTCACATCCATGCACAGCCCGGGGGGAGTCACTTGTTGGAAGAGAGGCTCTGAAGAGGGATGAAAACAAGCACATGGAACAAGTTAAAAAAGAAAAAAGTATCCCTTCAAGACTACAGGAATTAGAGAAGTGGGACAGGAATGATCAGCATGCTGGAAACATGGGAGAGTTTTCTTGGCTAACTGATTATAATTAAAGAAGTGCGAGAGCTGCCTAGTTAGCTAAAAGCACAACCCTGCTGGGTTTACTCTGAGGAGTATCCAGCTCATTCTCATTCCCTTGAAAAGATGATCACAAGCGTATGAGAACCTGAGGAGGGTAAAGGACTCTCAGGGCTCTAAATGCATGTGAAGGAGCCCTAATTCCACCCCAAGAGTAACTGAATGGGCAGGTCAATGTCTTCCATCAGAGCCTCGAACTATCAGTGGGTAAGATGTGTCTGAGAGCCAAGCCTCTGAGGCCAGATTCTCAGCTGGTGTAAATTCCTAGAGCTCTACTGGTTTTAATGGAGAGTTACTGATTTACTAGAGCTGCAGGTCCAACCTCTTCTGTTTGAGCACTTGAAATGGTTCTGAGTTTATAGCTAGAGAAGACAAAGCTCTTAAAACAATACAAGGCAGGATATTTGGTGCTGGCTTGCAGGGATATGTGGGTTCTTGCTTGGTCTTGGCTACTATAAATCTATTGTTCTTCACTATAAACAGCAGAGCGTGGGCCCTTTTTACAGGAATATGTAAATGATTTAATAATTTCCTGCTGGTGGGCTCAATTTCAGTATTGTGTAAGCATCTACTCACTCCTATGGAGCGGGTTTGAACTTTTTCCAGTTTTCCTGAACTTTCTCACATGGTGAATTACAAAATTCAGATTCCCACTTGTGAAATAATTCTAGGGAAACATTTTCCTCTCTCTTTCTCACTCTCTTATGTATTCATGTCCCCAACACTTTTCATATCACCCTTTTTATGTCATCATTCATTTTTCATGGGTCAGGTAACATTTTAACTTGCTGTAAAGTTTTTGGATTTTGGAGTTTTTCAGTTTCTTGCTTGAGATCAGAGAACAAAGACTTTTCCAGAATTACTAGGGGGCTGTGCCCCTTGCTCACTGTGCTCGCCAAGCTCCCTGTTGTGGGGGCAGGCAACCCTGGCTCTATCCCCAGCCACCAGGGAGGGGCAGGCTGCTACTCTGCCAGCCAGGGTCCCTTCTTCCTCCCACTGCCATGCCAGCCCAGCACCAGCTAGGCCCCTGTCTTCCTCCCCCAAGCCAGGCCACCTCCCCCGCCAGCCAGGGCCCCCTTCTTTCTCCACAACCCGCACTGCAGCCTAACGGTAACTCCAGTGGTTGCGTGGCCGCACACACGAGGCCCAAGTCTCCCCCTACGCGCTGGAAAGGAACAGACCCGAACCGCACTGACCTGGTTTTCCCACTGGGAGGGGTCCAAGCTGCACCAGGCCCTGGACCTGTCTTGTTCCAGTTGCTAGGAAGAGGAGGGAAGTGCTAGGGTTGTAGGCAACCCAAGCCCTCCACATGGGCTCTGGGAAGGGCCAGGCTGGGGGGCAAGGTGGGGCATGTTCCTGTTGGACGCAGAGTGCTGTGATGACGTCACTCTATTGTCCCACAGGAAAAACTTGTTTATAGTACAGTAAGAAAAATGTGACTAAATGAATGAATCAGTCTGAATTTTCAGACTAAACCTTGAAAAAGTCTGTAGTAGGAAGAGAGCCTGAAACTTAAGTCCACATATCACAGGCATGGTGTGAGGCCTCTGATCTAGGCAAAAAGTAGTCAAAGTTTTGCTAATATAAAGCAAACTTGAGCTGTGAGGAAGAGGCAGGCCCTGCTCACAGAATTTGGCAAGAACAGAGCTGATACTAAAGACACACACCTCAGCAGTGCTAGGCACAAATCATGTAAATATATTCCAGGATAAGTAGAAGAACACCTTGACAACAATATACTCTCCATAGATAACAAGAACATACTGACCCACCCTCAGGATAAGATCAGGATGGCAGCATGATGGGTAGGGTTATTTTGATCAAACTAACATGTATAAAGTAGGGGCTGGCACCCAGGTACATCAAAGGTGGCACGCTCGGAAGAACAGAAGAATGGCCACAGTGAGTCAGACCAAAGGTTCCTCTATCCCAGTGTCCTGTCTTCTGAGAGTAGCCAATGCCAAATGTCCAAGAGGGAACGAACAGAACAAATAATCATCCAATGAGTCATCTCCTGTTTCCCATTCTCAGCTTCTGACAAACAAAGGCTCAGGACACCATCCCTGCCCGTCCTGGCTAATAGCCATTGGTGTACCTGAAGAAACTTAAACAGCTAATAGTCCTGCAGAACCTTAAAGACTAACAAAAAATGTAGATGGTGTCATGAGCTTTCGTGGGTAGAACCCACTTCTTCAGATGAATCAGCTCTGAAGATTCATCTGAAGAAGTGGGTTGTACCAACAAAAGCTCATGATATGATCTACATTTTTTGTTATTCTCTAAGCTGCTGCAGAACTATTCATTGTTCTTTTCAGTTACAAACTAAGACTGCTACCACTCTGAAACTTTTGAACATTGATGAACCTATCTTTCATTAATTTATCTGGTTCTTTTTTGAACCCTATTAAAGTCCTGATCTTTACATCTTCTGGCAAAGAGTTCCACAGGTTGACTGTGTTGTGTGAAGAAATACTTCCTTTTGTTTGTTTTAAATCTGCTACCTGTTAATTTCATTTGGAAACCCCTAGTTCTTATGTTATGGGAACAAGTAAATAACTTTTCCTTATTTACTTTTTCCATACTAGTCATGATT